CTTTCAATCTGTGCGGGTCTTTTGTCCTGAGGTGCATCTCCTGTGGGCATATGTGTGAGTGGTGATTTCTTATCCATTCAGCTACTTTATGTCTTTTGATTGGAGGTATTAATCCGTTTATATTTAAGGTTGTTATTCATAGGTACTTATTATATCATTTTTCATACCTGTGTTCCTCTCTGTTTCAGTCTTTTTCTTCATTTTCTTTGAGTAGTCAGTCCCTTTACCATCTCTTGCACAGCTTGTTTGATGGAGGTGCATTCTTTTAGAATTGTTTTGTCTGGCAAGCTCCTTATTTGGCCTTTCATCTTAATTGATAGCCTTGCTGGGTAAAGTAGCCTTGGTTGCAGGCCTCTCATTCTCATTACTTGGAATATTTCTCACCATTCTCTTCTGGCTTGGAGTATTTGCATTGAGAAGCTAGCTACTAGCCTTATTGTGGCTCCTTTGTATGTTACTTCCTGTTTCTCCCTTGCTGGATTTAAGATTCTGTCTTTGTCTTGGAATTTTGCCATTTTAATTATGATATGTTTTGAAGTCGGTCTCTTTGGTTTCCTCTTAATTGGGAGTCTCTGTGTTTCCTGGATTTGTGTGATTTTTTTCTCTCATCAAATTAGGGAGATTTTTCATAATTGCTTTTTCAAACAGTTTTCTCTCCTGTGCTCTTCCTCTTCTCCTCTGGTATCTCTGTTATATTGATATTCTTACATTACGTGTTGTCCTGCAGTTCCCTGAACACCTCTTCATTGTTTTTGAGTCTTTTTTCCTTTTCTTATTCTTTCTGTGACTTTTTTTCTACCTTGTCCTCCAACCTGCTGATGCAATCCTTTGCTTCTCTACCCTGCTTTTGATTCCTTCTACTGTGTTTTTTAATTCAGAAATTGTATTCTTAATTTCCTCTTGGCTTTTGTTGATAGTTTCTATTTCCTTTTTCATGTTGATATAGTTTGCAGTGAGTTCATTATAGTTTCCCTGTATTTTTTGGCAATTCTCTGTGAGCTCATTGGGCTTCCTTATAACCATTGCTTTGAATTAAATAAGTGATATTTAGCATTCTTTTATTTAGCATTCTTTCTGAGGCTTCCTCCTTTCCTTTGGGAATTGTTTCTTTGTATTCTCATTTTTTATGAAATTCTTCCTGTTAGCCTCTGCTTGTTAAATTGATCTGTTGTGACTCCCTGGGTTTATGGTGTGAATTTCTATGGTTTTGAGATTCAGTGGTGCAGTTTCTACGATCTCCTGAGCTTGCCGGTCTTGGCCTGTCATGTATGTTGGCTCTCTGTAGGTCTTTGGGTTTTGATTGTACTTTGGTCTTTCTTTGGTGGGTCCCTCCCTCCAGCCTGTTAATTGAAGGTGATTCTGTGCACCATGTCTTGTATCCTGTTGCACAGGTGTGGACAGGTTGTGTCAAAGCTGATTCTTCTGTGTGTATGAGGTTTTGAGGCTTCTCTCTTGCTCTTGTTCAGTAATTTGTTCTTGGTAATTTCTCCACAATTTAGTTTTATTTCCAGATCATTCCTTGGTTGATGGTAGTGTGGCTTCCAGTCCCACTACCATCCTCCTTCACCTTCTTCTGTTGTTGGGTGGGTTTCCTCTTCCAGCAGGTATACTCGTGTTGACCTGCTGGATTTTTGTTGTGATTAGTTGTCCACCTACGCTTTTGTGTGATCAGTTGGAGGGGGAAGAAAAAATGGTTTAAGACAGTGGAGTGTATTCAATGGTATTCAAAGTACCAACCCGTAGAGAAGAGATAGGAGATCCTTTGGATATGTATAGTGTTAACTGTGATATTTCACCTAACTAGCCACTTTTTGGAAAGTGTGGAAAAAAGATAAGACTCTTGTTAGGAGGGAGGAAGGATTTTGAGTTGTATCTGGAAAGCAGTGAGCTTGTAGGAGGTCAGATTATGAAGTAAAGTGAGAGTAAAGGATAGAAAATAGGTGTAGTGTGCAAGAGAATAGAGTTCACCACCACAGTAATAAAGTTCAAGAAACAGTGAAGTGAGCTAAGATTTAGAGGGGGTGCTGTGCAGTATTTACAATTGTATGGAACAGCAATTATTTACAATAGTAATGGAGCAACAATCATACGACAGAATTTATGTGATCTGAATAATAAGAATAGGAAGTACAGGACCTAGAGTAGTGTGCTATTGGAACAGAACTAAAGTGAAAGATGGAAAATTAAAAATATACTATGAAAGAGCAAACAAGGGAAACCAGTCAAACAATGCAATTTAACTAACCAGGTGAAGAATACTAAACAGAAAGGAGAGAAATATAAAATACTAATAAAATAAGAGACGAGAATAATGAAAAAAATAATTATATGAATGTACAATAACTTGAAAGTTCTCTGGGGTAACCAAGTGAAATTTGTCTCACTGTCTCAGCTGTTGGGATGACCCCTTTTTGGAACTAACTCTTGTCTTTTCACAGCTACAGGTTTTGTTGTCTTACTTGTGGGAATTTAAAAAAAAATAAAAGGAAGGAAGAAGTAATAAAGAAAAGAATGAAGGAAAGAAAGGAAGAAGGAATTTAAAAAAAAATTTTTTTAAAGCCTTCTGCTGGCTATATTAACCACCAAGCCAGTTCTCCTGATCTTCCTGGCTACAGCAGGCTGAGGAGGAATTGGTTTCTCTTTTCTCCCTTCGCGAGCCACACTCTCGCAGTTGCCCAGCCTCCAGCCTAGTTCCTTAGTCTGCTGCCGGGCTCCCAGTGCCCTTCTGTGCCCAGTCTACACCTTCAGTCCACCAGTTGTGCTGTCCTCAAGGTGTACCAGTTAGGGGCAACTCACACACCACCTTCCAGCTCTTTGCTGTCCTAGATGCTAGGGACTCTCTGCACCCCTCCAGGGTAGTTCAGCACCCACACTGAGTTAAGTCTTTCTGGGGATTGCCGACTCCCTGAGTCCTGTAGCTCTCCTCTGTTGGGGCGTCTCCACCTTCCTCTTACCAAGCCAGTTATCCCTGGGAGCAGGTGCTGAGCAGGGAGGTGCCTCTGGGCACCAGGGTCAGGCATGCTCAGTCCCAGGGCTGTGTGCCTGAGCACTCAGCCTCTGCTGCTGGGGCAGAACGGGCAGCCTCTGGACCTCCGGATCTGGTATGCACCGTCTCTGAGTCTTCAATTGTGAGGGTGTGGCCTGGCGGGGGTAGGGGTGCAGGAGGCAGGGGTGGGTGCTGCGAAGAATCCCTCAAACAGCCCCTGAGTGCCTCTTTTTTCTTTTTCTTTTTAAAAAATTTCTCCTGTTCAAGCCTGCTGCTCCAAACAAGAACCTAGCTGCATACATAGCTCAGCTCTCCAACCAGACCAGGGACTAACTGGGTCAACTTCTGTGACTGCCCAACTTTTCCCACCTGGCGTCCACAGTCTCAGCGGGTGCACATTGCCCCTGCATGTTTGGCACTTCATCCTTATTTCCCCCCTGTGACTTCAAGCATCCAGGTCCCTCCTGGTGCTGCTCAAACCTTGTTTGGTAGGGGAGGGAGCCGTTGACGGGGCTGTCTCCCAAGAATCCTGCAGCAGACCCAGGGGGCGCAGGGCCTGGGGCTGCAGCCTGCCTGGTTCCTGTGCTGGTCCTAGGGACCTTATTGTCCTAAAGGAATCTCCTTACTGTCTGATTTTTCAATGTCCTCTACAATTTTTGGTCTCTAATCTTCATATATGCTGGGATACCATTGGCTCTTCACTCTGTTCCTCAGAAGATCGGCTAGATGTTTAACTTGTGCGCAGGAGGAAGTGGACTCCACTCCCACCTATCTCACCGCCATCATCCCCCTTGCTTGTTTATATTTTTAATTGTGGTAAAATACATGTAACAAAATTTATTATCTGAACCATTTTTAAGTGTACAGTTCAGTAGCATGAAGTACATTCACATCATTGTGCAACCAATCTCTAGAAATTTTTCATCTGGCAAAATGGAAACTCTATACCGTTAAACAACTCTGTTTCTCCCTCCTCCAGCCCCTGGCAAATCACCATTCTCCTTTTTCTTTATATGAATTTGACTACCTTATGTGAGTGCAGTGATAGAGTATTTGTCCTTTTGTGGCCAGCTTATTTCACTTAGCTTAATGTCCTTAAGATTCATCTATGTTGTAGCATGTGACAGGATTTCTTTCTTTTTTAAAGCTAAATCTAAAGGTTTTTTAATTCTATTTTATTTTTATTTATTTTTTAAAAGAACTCATGGCTTTCTGTACATTATCTGTGTCAATCCATTGTAAGCATTATTGCTTTTGGTGCTGAAATTGTCCCATCTTTATCCAGTGGGAGCCCCTCCAGTGTAGCTCCTGAGGCTTTTTGACATGACTCAGTAGACTTTGATAGCTTTCCTACCTTCTGATATAATAAGGTGTTCCAGGCTATCTTCTATATTTCCTGCCCCAGACCTGGAGTAGGGAATTTTTCTAAGGGGCACTGGTTCTTTTTAGTATCTAAATACCATTGTCTAGACAGCAAGATAGGCTTACTTTTTAACTCTTTCCCAATACTATATTTGTAAATTATAAGTAGACCATAGTAAGAGTATATACAGCAAGGATAACTATTGTTAGGATGGAAATGTGATCTATTTCTTCTAACCACATTTAAAAGGAGCCTGCCCATCAATACAGTAATTTGAAACAATAGTTGCTTATTAGGACACTGTGTAAGCCTTAAAAATTTGCATACTGGGCCACACCCCAGACTAATTTTACTTGACTCTGTAGGGGATAGCATAAAGCACCTAGATTTCACAGAGATTCCCAGGTGGTTCCACTATGCATTGGAAGTTGAGAAAGCTCATCTAACAATGAAATCATAACCAAAATAAAATAAAAGTTAAAAAAGGTATACCTGGACTCTAGAAATTACCCTAGTCCAGAATAAATTAGGTTCCAGGCTCTTCTGAATAACCTGTCTTCTACTAATTTTGTCATGGGGCCTTTTAAAATATGGGAATCTCATAACTCAGTCTTACAAATCTCTAATGTTTCTTCTGTTTCTGTTTTATAGATCTGAACAAGCATGTGCCTCAGCCTTATTAAGGGCACAATTAGGTCAGCATGTTTCTACCTTGAAAGAACATGATAATTCTGCCAAAGAAGAAAAACTGTCTGAAGTTTTCCTAGTCAAAAACGTGGACCAGGGTACAAAGGTTAGTTATTTTTAAAAATAGTTTCAATATGTACAAGGTAATGATTTGAGAAAATGATTACATTCTTAATATATTTGAAAAAATAACTAACATATGAGGTATTGAGTTATGTTTGTTTTAACTTTCTGATCTCACGCCTTTAGCATATTATTTTGTGTAGGAGTCTTACCTCCTTATATAAAGTTATAGGAGGTTTAGAGATAATCTAATTAAATGCATCTACCACAACATTTTCCGAGAAGCTTAGAAGCATCTATAATACAGGGTTTTCTCTCTTTGATACTTTTTAACATTTTATTTTTATCATGTACATAGTTCAAGGATTCTAAATATGCCCCTGCTGGGGGCAAACCTTGCTGCCTCTGTCTCAAGAGTCATACACCTGTGTTGTGTGGCCCAGAACCTCTACCATCACTCCTTCAAGTCTTTTAGAGTGCCTTCAGTTCCTCTTAACTCTCTGCCCTTTCCTTGCTGCTTAAATTAAAAGACAATAGGAGGACTTTTTAAAAGCATATCAAACATGTGTACATAGAGTGTACCCACCAGCCCCATGCCCACCAACAAATTCATACTTGTTACCATCATACTGTACTGTTTCACATATCCTCATCTTTCTTCTTTCCCCTATCTTCCTACTTCTCCTCTTCCTGTTCCCCCTTCCTTTTCTTTTCTTTTCTTTTCTTTTCTTTTCTTTTCTTTTCTTTTCTTTTCTTTTCTTTTCTTTTCTTTTCTTTTCTTTTCTTTTCTTTTCTTTTCTTTTCTTTTCACCTCCCTTCTCTTCCTTCTCCTATCTTATCATCTGTCCACTTTTCTTCCTCTTCTGGTCTCCTTCCTCTCATCATTCTTTCTTCTGTGACAAACTGCTAAATGTAGATACAGCTCCCAAGTGCCTCTCTAGGATCCCATGCTCCTTTCAGACATAACTTTTGTATATACTTTCTGTACACATTTTCATTTTATTGCATTATGTGTGACTTAGTAAATAACATATAGTTTTGTTTTGGTTGAGATATGATACCATTTGCGTAGATGTCCTTTAAGAAACAACAATTTTTTAGAATAACAGAACCTATGTTTTTTAGATCCATTTCATATCTGTTGATAAATGTAGATTTTAAGGAGTTTGTTTTCAAACTTCATCATCTATTTTATGTAGTACTATTTTGTGGCAACATTGTTTATAGCAAATACATTATATCTCAGCTGTGTCAAGGGTGAAAATAAGTATTGATTGAATGCCCTTTGCTATCTAACCCTTTTTTAAGGGTTTTGTTTATGTTAGAAAACATACTGCAAATTCCAGACAACCAGTCTACTTACAATTTTCAAATAATTATTTCACTATTAATGAGAGGGACCTGCACAACTAATAACTTAGGAATCAAATGATATTCTGCTTTGTTCCTTTTAAGTCATCATGATCTCATCTTATGGCAGTCATAAAAATTACCAACATATTAATGACAACATGTATCCTTAAAGATAGAAATAAGCAAGCAGTTTCATAGTTAGGTCCTGATGGAAGAAATTAATAGCCCCAAAGAAATGCACAGCCCCATTTACCAAAATGATATGGGCAGGGCAAGCCTTGGGAGCTTCGAGAAAAATGCTTTTCTGAGTTCTAGGACTGTTTTGTTTTATGAATCATCCTTTTACAATTAGCAAAATCAGGTATCTTCAAGTTGTTTCCCTGTGTTGAAACAATGCATACAATACAGTCAGTACATCATATGAGTTAAATATTTCTCTGTAGATAAAATTCTGAAAGTAAAAGATTTTCAAAATTTAAGAAAGCTCTACTAGCAATTACTTGTTTAAATAAGTTTAATGAAGCTCAGAAATATTTACTTTGATCTCTTGGGTAAACAGCTAATTAAACAGCCACATGTACATAATGTTTACCTGTGGGGCCCCTTGCTCTCAGCTGGAGTCAATCCAACTTTTGAGTAAATACATCATTAAAACCCCGAAATTCCAATTATGTCTCCCAAGACTAGATAAAATCTACAGCACCCTCATAACCTAGTAGGCAATTACATAATTGAGCTGCATGCTTTAAATCAGAAAAATGTATAATTATTTTATGTTAAAAATGAGTTTGGGCACTTCGTTAAAATACGTTAATGCTCTTTTACTTTAAAGTGATGATTGTGAACCTGGGAGAACTCCAGGCAAAGCAGAGTCTGCTGGTGTCACTGGTAGAGTTAAGTCTGTCCCATGCCCCACCCCTCACACCCGCCACACAGACACTAGACAAACATCACAGAAATCCCTTCACCTCTTCCTAAATAATGGGGCTGGTTTCTTGTTCATCTCTCTTGAATACTCCCTTGCTAGCTCATACTTTCTCTTTCATTTAATTGATTCATAGATAAAATCCCCTTCCTCTTCAGTAACTTAGATACAACTTAAGTGATGATGTTTGCATTTCTTTATAAACACTCAAAAACTAACTTCCAGTGTGCAGGAGGAATCTTCTTGAGGAAGGGTCAGTTAAATCTGTGTAATATGGGAAAATGTCATTGGCTGTCTACTTCCATGTTTTTTAATTCTCTTACCCTTTTGTATCTGCGTTAATAGCCCTGAATTCATTTACATATCATAGGGAATTAAGTTTTATTAAATTTACACATTCACTTTCCGTTTGTATTGTCAATGTAAGAAATGTTCAAACCTGTAGAGAATTTTTATGAGTTTATTTAAGCTGAACTGACAATACTTGGAGGGAGGCAGAATCTCAACTCATTGATAAAATGCTCCAGAAAATGTCAGTATTATCACTTATTTCATACATCAGAATCAAAGGGGAGGATGTTAGGGGTTTTGTGAAATTCATTGGTGATAGATTAGGGAGGTTGGAGAAAGCAAAGGAAGAAAATCTCTGGGACTAGATAAAAAGTAAAAGGAATAGACACATACTGGTACTCCTTTTATGTTTGTGGGTACTGGATAGTTAACAGCCAGTAATTAACAAAATGACAACAACAGTGAGGGGATTTGTGGTCTCCACTTGGAAATTACCCTAACATTCCAAAGGTATGTTATCCTAGATGCACAAAGACCACAGACAGGCTCAGTTAAGATAAAGATTAAACTTTATCAGGGGAAAAAACTGGCCTAGGACGTGACTGCGTACCATGAACTGCTTTTAGTTAGAGAGTTTTAATTTCAGACCATCCTATGTGGTTTGTTTCCATCTGAGTTTGTGAGGTTTGCCATGCAGGCCTCCCCTGAGCTTGTCAGGTTTAGTATGTGAGCCTCCTCTTTTTTTCCATTCATAGTATTTGTACCCCAGCACAGAAATTCGAGTCTTTACCATCTGGCATATGTTTTCTTTAAAAAACTGTCAGGGAGAAAACACACAAACTTGGGATGTTTAAGTAAACAAAAAGAAGTAACATTCAAATGAAAGGAAAGTAACATTTCCTTTCATTCAAATTGTGCATTATCTGATGTTCTCCATATTTAACCATTTGACATTGTCGTATATAATTTTTGATATTTAATGTATTGCCACTATTTTTAACCCATGGCTTCATTTTTCCCACTTGTCACAAGTGATCTTTCTTTCATACCATCAAATGTTTTACATAATTTTACATACATGGTTGTGAAAAGACCCCTAAATGACTATTCCAAAGTCCTTTTAACCAGGCTCCTAATATTGAGCATCTAATCTGTTTTTAATTTTTCCTCTAAAAGAAATTTTCAAAGAACATCTGAGCAATTTAGTCTTTACAAATATCCATGCTAGTTCCATAGAATGAATTTCTACATATAAAGTTGAGAAAGGAAGCAAAAGGGACTTAGAGCCCTAACTTGTGTGGCTCAGTTGGTTGGGTGTTGTTCTTTGAAATGAAAAGTCACCAGTTTGATTCTGGTCAGGGCATGTGCCTGGCTTGGAGGTCTGCCCTGGTCAAGGTGTGTATGAGAGGCAACTGATTGATGTTTCTATCTCTTATCAATGTTTCTCTCCCTGTCTTTCTTCCTCCTGTATCTTCTTTCTAAAAATAAATAACTAAAATCTTTGTTTTTTAAAAGGGTCTCAGACATTGAGCTTAATGAACTGGGGAATATAAACCTACTTGCTGAATATTGCATTCCACCAAGGGAATTGATACTCCTCCCTTCTACCTTCAAGTACTAGATTGTTGGGAAGTGCAGGGAAGGTACAGGACCACAGAGACCTCTCTGTATAATGAAGGGGTGTAAACCTATTCAAACCCGTAAGTTCAAGAAGTTAATTGGTAATTTTGAGAAGGTACCTGGTCTGCCCTAACCCCAAGCAAGTACAATCCTTGGGAACAAAGAAGCTCTCTCTGTCTCTCTCCCCCCATCTCTTTCCCACCAGTGCCCACATTTGCCCCATGCAGTCATGCATCCTCTCTCCATAACCATGTGGCCTTAGTAGCCACAAAGGTTCTGCCACTGGAGCAGCTAGGAACAAGCTAAGCTACCTGGATGGAGAGTGAGATCACTAGGCATAGTGTGCATACCGCAGCATAGAAATGGACTGCAGCTGGGGTCATATGCTAAGCCAGCCAGATGCTGAACTGCACTGTACTTTTTTTTTAAGTACATGTTAGTGATTGTGCTATTTCAGTTGTCCCAATTTTCTTCTCCCCTTTATAGCCCCTCCACCCTGCTGCCCCTACCCTCCAGCATTCCCCCACCTTAGTTCATGTCCATGGGTTGTATATATATGGTAAATTCTTTTGCTTCTCCATTTACTATACTATTCTTAACCTACCCCTGTCTATTTTATGCCTGCCAATTATGCTTCTTATTCCCTGTACATCCTCCCCCCATTCTCCTCTTCCACTCCCCATTGATAATCCTCCATGTGATCTCCATTTCTGTGAATCTGTTCCTGTCCTAGTTGTTTGCTTAGTTTTTGTTTTTTAGGCTCAGTTGTTGATAGTTATGTTTGTCATCATTTTATTGTTCATAGTTTTTTATCTTCTGTTTCTTAGATAAGTCTTTTTAACATTCCATATAAT